GGGTCAAGGTGAGATTTAAAAATCGGTTCCTTTTCTAGCCATGTCCTACATAGTTTTTATTTGGCCTTAAAGTTGTTACGGTAACGTACTAGGTTGAAAAAAACCAGGAGTGACCATTAACAACAGTAACAAAGACAAAAAAAATAAACTAAAGATGACAGCACAAACTGTCCACCATTTTGGAGATGTTATTGCTGTTATTAATAAGAATACTGCAATATACAGTGTTTTTAAATATGGGCCGATCCTACAGAATAATCAGACATGATGGTTAGAAATGAAACCCAGAACTAGGTATGAGGTTGTACTGATTAAACACATCTTACACCTCACACCATGTTTGCATGAGGCGGATAGACCCGATTACTCTGTATGTGACAGAAGATGCATTTAAGGCTCTGATACACACAAAGCTAACAAAAAGGTACCCAACCCTTACACAAGACCTGGTTTCAACAGTAAGCTAGTCAGAAGAGCTCTGCACAGCAGCAAAAGGCATCTGAGTCCATAGGAATGCCATTCTCAGCACCATACAAATACACACAGCCTTTAAGCCATCCTGTTATTCCTGAAAGACCTAAGCAGCTTGATACTTAACCTCACACAAGGCACTTCAGAATTGTAAGATGGAGATACCTGTGACACCTCAGGAACCCCACTGGTGCAGTTTTAAGCTCTGAGTCTAAAGCAAAGGCAACTTAGACTACTTTCAAGTCAGCTGCAGCACTGACAATAGGTTTCACAATGCATAATGCTGTTGTCAAAACCTGGCCCTCCGGTTACTCAGGCTGATCAGTTTGTTGGCATTCCACATCTGACCTCTTACCACAGCTGCGATGCAGGAAGGATGACCACCACCAGCACACAGGTACCTTTCCTGTGCAGTTCCATCTTGTGTTTTGAAGATTGAGGTGCTATGCTTAAATTTTTCCAGAGCTGCAGAGGCTACTGACTCCAGTCAGGGGCTGAAGGCAGAAGCCTGGCCATTGCTCCTCCAGCCAGCCCAGAACCTTCTTGTTTCTACAACCTGAAAGCAGTGATACTCCCATCTTGCTAGGAAGCTGAATGCATCAGTTGAGGGAATCACTCAACCCACAAGAGCGTTTGGTACGTGGTTCTTTCACACAAATGTCAGAAGGAATGAAGAGACAGAGGCCTTATTTGCCTCCCCCCAGCTTAACTCCAGATAACCACTGCTAAAAAGAAACATCCGGAGTGATTTTGTCCACACTGGCTCAGCAAGGCCTTCGCAACCAGACAGCACAGAGGAACGCATACAGTACAGCAGGCTACAGGAAGGAGGATAATGAATATATGGTAAACCATGCACAAAAACACAGTACGAGAGCCCTTGCATTAAATGTGGGATACTTTCTGTTTTCCTAAACTTTCCTTTCACTAATGGGCTCCTGTTTACATCATACAGTAAAAGCCAGGTGCTACTCTCGTAAGGCTGAAATGCAGCCCTAAGATACAGTAAAAAGACTTAGTAACATTTACCAAAGCCAAACACAGGCTGCTGAACTGCTCACATCTACTAGGGGTATGCTGCCCTTCAGCCCAGCTGTTGCCCACCACAGCAAGCAAGCAGGAAACAGTGATGGGTGCAATGTACAAAGTTCATGTCTGTTCATCCAAAAATACAAATGCTGGAGGTCTTGGTTCCCTCCAATTTGAAGTGCCATCTCAACTTCTGTATGAGGAACTGGAGTTCTCATTTTGAAGTCTCACCTCATTGCCACAGACAGATAGAAAATCTTGGCATTCATTGCAGTTAAGACAAATGTTAACAAAAAGGACTTACCACTGTGAATCTTTTTCCCTCGACAGGGTGGCCAGATACTCTGAATATCTTATTAAGTTCTTAGGAGGCTCTGCAATGTCATTCACAGCTTTTTTAAATTGCTATATATTAGAATAAAGCAAGAAATGTCATCTGCATTTAGCTCCAACCCACTGACTGCTCTTCTCTTGCTGGAGAATTTAAGTTAAAGATTAGCTGAATTTTGTGCAGCTCATTTCAGAAGATTAGAATTACCACTGAAATTCTCCAGCATGTAATAATCATCTTCTCATCAATGCATATTTTTTAGCTACCCAATTATTGCCATATTTAGATTACTCCCTGGATTGGGAGCTTGTATTTAATTACAATATTTCACTAGTGCTTGTACACTCTTAAATCTGCAACACAGACATACTACTTATAATTAACTTTGCAGTAGGTCCAGTGTTAAAGATTCACCTCTCTCCTTCAGAGTTTTACAAGTCAAAAATTGTCTAATGCATGATAAATAATGCAGGCCCTGTTTATTCCATGCTGTGCACAATTTGATGGTGGAATTACCAAGCCTCCTTGCCAAAAACATCTTTGATTCTCAGGCTTCAAGAGAGTAATTGGTACCTCATATTTTCCCCTTTTTTGCACCAATTAAAACCTGCAGGTGCACTAATGCTGTCATCTGGAATCTTGCTGGTACATCAGAGGTTATTTTCCCCACATGCGTGCTATTAGGAAAATCAGCCCATCAGGGGAATTATGAATGTGCTGTTTGTTGTTACAGTGCTCTCAAGGTCTTCCAAATATTCTACTAGTGCAGGACCAGACAGTACATTTTTACCTCTAAAGTAAGCCCAGGTGTCAAAAAAACTTCAGTTGGAAATACTACTTTCTCTCTCACTCAATGTGTATCTGAAACAAGCGAAACATCTCTTCAGGACTGTCTCAGATTTAAAGGCCAGACATGACTGTTAAGGTCGCCTAGGATCTCCTGCT